TTAGGAGTTAATTTTAGAATGAATTGAATTGAAAAGAAGATTGTATGATACAGAAGGGACAGGATTTAATAATGAATTAAAGTTAGAAGATTAGGCTGTGGATCTTGAAATACAGTATGAGATCTAGATTTTGTGATAGATTTGTTGATTAAGATGAAGTAAAAACTTTATAGAAAGTGTAGTAGTTACTTTTTTGGAAGACAAATTTGCAATAGTATCAATGAGTTCATTTGGTATTAAGCCTGTTAGAGTTGAGACAATTGATAGTACATCAGATCTATTGTGAATAAACATACTGTAAAGTAGTTTAATTTGGTGATATAAGTTGGTTATAGTATTAGGTGTAGTATCAAGTGTATTTGAGTTAAGAGTATATTGTAATAAGGTATCGATAAAACTAAGTAGTAGTTGGTTAGATAGACAAGTTGTCCAGTGAAAGTGTGAACTAGTTTGGTGGCATTGGTGACAAGTAGGTAAATATGAAGGATAGCATTTATATAAGATATGTGAAGCAGGGAGTTTGTCTGATAAAATTTTAATTCTAAAGGATTTGAGAGTAAAAAACTGAAAGCTATAAGAAAAGTTTGAAATTTTTTGATTATTGTTAATATAAAGCCAGATGGCTTGCCAGTTAACTTGGTTAAGAATTATGTGTCATTTTTGAAAACAGTTTTGTGTTATTCAGAGTACATATATATGTGCATGACATATTGTACAAATGCTATGATGAGTAGGTAACTCTAAGGGAAAATTCTCAAAGGTTAAAGTATAAGCTAAGTTGTAAGTATTATAAAATGTAAAAATAAGATATAGCAGGTTGTAATGGTTATGTGCTAGTTGGTTAGCAAGGTTGTTATATTTGTTATTCTGATAAGCAGTAATTTTGTGAAAGATAATATGAATATTATATGATTTAATAAAATTGATAAGTGTATTCCATAATGAGAAATATGATGTATAAGTATATAATATAGTTGTTGTTAAGTTTGAAAGACTGTTGTATTTAGAAATCACAGATTGTGAGTCTGTGTATATGTTTATAGTGCAGTTTCTAGGAGCAGTGATGAGAGCTGATAAAATAGCAATAAGCTCTGACTTGAATAAGCAGGGCCAATATTTAGTTTGGGCTTGGAAAATGTGAAGTACAGAATTATTTGAAACTTGAACTCATCCAATACCCATTGAGTATTGTAAGGTGCCCAAGTTTATAACTAAGCCATCTGTATAGAAGTGAAGTTCTGATAAGTTGGAGTTATAATTAGCAATTTGCTGAAAATTGTTTGTAAGTGAACTGTGTTCAAAAATATTTGGAATTGAGTATGTTGTAATAGTGATATTAGAGTTTTGTTGTGTGTATTAACTTGACTATAGAATTTAGTTGAGACATTAATGAGAATAATAATTGTGCATTTGTTAGCTATTGTGTAAGAATTAAGACAACAGTCTTAGCATGCATTTGATTGAATAGATGAAAGAGGATAGAGGTGAGTAAATTGTGATTCAATATAATATTGCTAATGAGTTATAAGAACAGTTCCAGATAGTGAAGGCTGTCTTCAAGCTTTGCCAATATTAATTTGATTATTAAGAACTATAATAAGGCATGGTTTTTTCCGTGAAGAAAAATGTCCAGTTGTATAACTGCAATAATTTGTGTTAGGTAAATGTAAGTTTTGATAAAGAGTATGATTGTAGAAGTGACTTGTGACTTAGTCCTTCAAATAGATAAACCAAAGTGGTTGTTTGCCTTTAGGAATTTTGTTTATATGTGGAGAAATATGTTTCCAGTTTAAAAGACATGAGTTATTGAATGTGATAAGTTGATCTAAATATAGAATGCTATGATGTCTAAGTTGTTTTTTGAATGTTATATATTTAGAGTGTGAGGAAAGTAGTGATTCAAGTAAGATAGAATTCTCTTGAATAGTGCATGGAATGTTGTATAATAAATTAGATGTAAACATCATGCCAAGATGTTTAAAGAGCTGAATAATCTTGAAATTAACTGTATATTTGTTGGGGCCATCAATAATAAGATTATTATATATTAGAATACTGATAGGTGACTATAAATTATTTTGAAGTTGTTGGAATCTAATATGGGTACTTATTTTCAAAAGATCAGGTGAATTGAGTCTTTTGGTAAAGTTTGTGATATAATGTTGTAATTGAATATCCTATATATTGTGAATGTTGTAAAGTTGAGAATAAAGTAGTATACTTGTAGGGATTGTATAATTGAGTCTAGTCTTATTTTTAACTAATCTAATATAGCTTGTAAGAATTTTATTGCATATATTTTGGTTAAGAACAATGTTATGAAGACAATACTCAATTGTAGGGATAATAACAGTATTAATTATGTATTGTGCTTGTGTATCATTATACAAAAATATATTTATCCTATATTATAACTATAATTATATTTAAATAATTCTTAATTTTGATTGACTATTATTATAAATTGTGTAATCTAAGATTTTGGCTAATCTCCTATCTCCAAAAATATTATCTAATATCTGTTATTGTTCTAAGAGATTGTTACAAAATTAATATATATAAAAAATTTTAATAAATAAAAATAAATCAATAATGTATATTATTAATAACAAAAAATTAATATTAAAAGAATTAATATTAATATGAAATAATTATATTAATAAACAAAAATTTTAGTAAAATTAAATAAAATTAAAAGAAAATAAAACATATGAAAAATAAAAAATAAAAAATAAAATAATTAAAATATAAAAATATTATAAAAATTTAGTTAGAAAAATAATTTAAAATAATTTAAAATTATTTAATATAATTTAAAATTAAAAAAATTAAGATTAATATAGCAAATCTATCTATATATTTGCAAAAGTAGTTAAAAAATATTATATTTAAAATACTAAAAACAAACAGTATAAAACATTTATATAATAAACTTAAATATTAATTAAATTATTAAAAAGTTAAAAAAACAGAAAATATTAACTAAAAATATTAATAATTTATTTTAATTTTATTTAATTAATTTATATTAAACTAGCTTTTTTTGAAATTAGAACTTTTTATTTAGTATTTAAGATAATACAGACTCTCTCAATAAAATTATTTTTAAATTATCTAATTTAAATTGCTTGCCTATAGTTCTATACTAGTTATTATATTTATAATTTATTACCTATTTAAATTTTCTATACTGTGATTTTTATTGTATTACTAAAATATTTTTAATATATATATTAGTTAAGAAGTTTTAGATACTTACTTATATCCTTAGAATACTGTATCTTATTTTATTTAATGCATTTTTAGAAGGCATTACTACTAGAGCCTTTCATATTCTATATATAGCTAACCTAGTTATATAAAATATACTATAATAGAACTAATACTTACAATTACAAATATTTATTAAATTTTTATATTATTTTATTTTTAGTTTTGTAAAATTTATCTAAACCCTTATACCTATTTTTTTGATCATTTTTTTATTATTTTTTACTAATTCTCTTACTCAATATTAAAGATAGAGAGTACTATATTGAATTATATATAAACTCAATGATGAACTATTTTTATATTTAATTTTATAAAAATTTATATTAAGTAAACTAATATTAATTTATAAGAAAAGTTTGTAGAACAGGTCTTTTTGATTTTAATGATAGTAAAATTATTAAATTTGATTAACAACTTAGTAAGATATAATTTTTAAGGATTAGATATAAAAATTTATTAATTAAATTAATTTATAGGGTTACATAAATTAACTAATTAAATTTAGTACTCTTGTACTACTTAGAAAATTTTAAGTTATTCTAGAAAACTTTGTGATATATATAAGTATATATTTTTTAAATATAATAATAGTTCAAAATTTTACTATAATAGATAAATTATTTTATTTATATTTTATAAAATTTTAATAAAAATTAGTTGTAATTTAAAAAAGTTTATAAGTAGTATATTTCAATTTTATATGAAAATTTTAAAATACTATATAAAACTATATAAAAATAATCTACATACCCTCTACCCTTAAGCAGACTTTACCAAACTACTCAATTTAGATAACCTAATATTATATACTTAATATTCTTTTTTTTAATAAAATTTAACAATCTGGTTGATCATATGTTGCTCTATACATTTTGTTATTTAGTTTTTAGAAAATTTTTTAAAAGATATTTTATGAACTTTTATTAGTTTAATAATATTATTAAAATTTTATACTATTGCTTTATTTAGAAATTTTCAAATAGATTTTTGTTTTCTTAGTTTCTTAGTCTTTAGTAACTAGTGATTTTATTATAAGTTTACATCAAAACCTTATATAACATAGTTATTAACATTCTTCTATATACATGTAATATAATATTTTATATAAATTTCTTAAAATTCCAATGTTATGTGAAACCTAACTTGATGTATCTAAGATTACAAATGCATAAATTCAATCAATTAGTTAGAAATAATTACTATAACACAAGTATAATATTCAAATTTTATTATAAATAGGATTTGAACATTAGATCTTGTATATTAGTAATAGTAGTATGTATGTTTTGGTAGCAGAGATAGTTGAGTATGCAAAGATGTATTCATGATTGCTACTATAAGAAACTCAATGAACTTAACATTCTTCTTTTTTGATAATTATTTTTTGAAGTTTAGGTTTGATAATGAAACCTGTCTTGTTCATATTCCAGATCCAATTAGGTAAGAGTAAATATTTATTAATAATGTTTTTAAGCTTATTAAAATGAACATTGATGATAATAAGCTTGCTTTTTGGACATATGCATCATTAAGACTTGTGAGATATGAAATGAAAGTTCAGGATAATCTCTTAAAAACCACTGCCATCATGATTGACCTGATCCATCTTTATTAAAAGGATGTGGATGCCCATCTCTATAAACAATCTTTATCATACAATGATTTATACCAAACCTTGATAATCTGAAACCAAGTTTCTGCATATTCAAGCAATAACTGACCAGATACTATTCTTTGTGGTCTGTTAGAACTTTATTGGGATCTGAACAGTTAGAAGGACCATCACTCTTAATGGCTTGTCTAAAAGTTATTTCCAGAATATCAAAGTCTTGTGTAACATTCCTTATACTTGGAACCTTAGGATTATTTGAAGAGTTCTTTATAAACTTGAAAGTTTTCTCAATAGCATTATTTCAAATATCTTCGTCTTTTCAGACATCATGATCTTGATTTTGATATTTTATTAAAAATTTAAATTTTAATAGTGCTTCGTCGCGTAGGTTAAACACGGATTAAATGCAGGGTAAATATTGCCACTAGTTACATATGACCCGGCACAATTTTATTTGTTACACATTCGATCGTGTTACCCCTAAAAAAAATTGATCGCCAATAGACACCGTAGAACAGAGCACAAAACTACTATAAAATACTGGAAACTCTAGTAAATTACGAAAAATTCCGGCGCATTTTTTAATAGTTGGAAATTTTCTGTTTGATCAAGAATTTTGACACTTTACATCATAACTGATTACTACTATCATTAATACTTCCGGTTATAGATCTTAAATTTCATTTAATAAAAAGATCGCTGGAAAAATATCAGAATACATTATGTCACAATTTTGTGCTCTGCGTAGAACCTTAATTTTGATGGCCTTAATTCAAATTACATATATTTATGACGCGTAACATTTGATCTAGTTCTGGTATATAAAAATATAAGCATTGCATGATAATTGTTTAATGAAAAAAATTTTTTCCTATAAACGTACAGTACAGGTCTTTGGGACACTATATAAAAGGAATTATAATGGCGATATCTCGTGACTCAGCGATCGGAATTGATCTTACCCAGGTGCGCCAACAAAATTTCACAGTCATGTGACGATCGAAAATTTCTTTAAAGTTCTTTTAGATTAGGATTAGCGTTTCTAATAAGATGAGGCAATGGTGGGGTTTATAGTAAAATTGTTCAAGGAATTTTTTTTGTTAGAGCGCAAAAGGTGGTTTCTTATGCAAATTTTTAAGAAATAAGCAATATTTGAAAAGCGAACGTTTTGTTTTGATCTTCCTGATCGTGTAACGTTACATTAAAACGAGACTCGCTATTGGATGATCATCACGTGAAAGTGAAAATTTGTTGGCGCA